GGGGGGGGGCCTTCGTCCACCCACACCGCCACACCCTCCAACACACCGCGCACACCGCACGTCGACCGCCCCGCCACTTCGATCCCCCCTGGCCGCGAGCCGAGCCACACACTTTCTGACCACCATAGCCTGGGGGCGCCGCTGCTCTGCTTAGCTGCTCTGGCCTGCGGCGCCGGAGAGTATTTCAAAGGCTTTTCGTGACCAGAACCACCCCGACCCGACCCCCCAGCCAGGCGCGCCGCACACATCCGCCAAGGTGTCGGGTGACACCGCGCCAAGTTCCGGTACCCCCGCTGCTCCGGTGCCGGTACCGCATCGCCAACGTACCCACGGCATGGTGGTCGCGTCGTTGTGCCGTAGACAGACAATCTTTTTACACTTATTGATGCGCACGACTTTTACGTATAAGAACTGGAAATTCTAGAGCTGAAAAGTGCTCTACAGGAAATTTGAACACTCCCATGTGTCCGAAAAGCTGAACTTTACTGACATACACACTTTTCAGTACTCAAACATCCAGCCAAATAGTAAAAACTGGTGAAACATGGTGTTGCACGTGCAACGTCAGTTGCACGCTATATTCATCAGTGCACCTAGGGCGTCGGTCGGGCGTTTCTTACCCTTCTAAAATATTGCCTGGCCCCTGTAAAGGTTTCAATTGAATTTCCTTATTATAATTCTCTTTTCACGGGTACTCCGCGCGGAGGCGATGACGTCTCGCGCCCGCACGCTGCGTGCGTCTCACGTCTCACGTCTCACGCAGCCGTTGGCCGCCCGCGAGCAACAGGTCGCGACTGCGTCATGTCGTGGACGACGTGGTATCGCAGTAGAAGGCTCGGCGCTGCCGCGCCGCCACGCCAACAAGGGCCGCCGCGGGCGCATCGCGCACAGCCACGCGACGATTGGGATTGCAGCAGCAGAGAGGTGTGCGCGCACGAGCTCCTATCCTATACTCGGCCCCCTCTATCGCGCTCTCTCCGGCGCTCTTTACCGAACTGCTGGGCGGGCAGAATTACGAGCACGAACCGAAGCACGACATCATGTGTTGCCCTGCTGCCTGGTCAATCTCACGCGCAATAAAGCATTCCGACGGTAAGGCTGATATGCAGAAGAAAGCGGGGAAGAAGAAAACGGAAATCACCATGCTATAAACATGGTGACTTCCGTTTCCTTGTTCCATGCATTCTTTAGCATTTCAGCTTTACCAGAATGCTTGGTTGTACTACGACGGGCAGTACGTGGGGGGCGTCAGCGCGCCGCTGGTGCACCGGTAGAAGAGCGAGTAGGGCGGCTGGAACGCAGCCAGGCACGGCGGGGCGGAAGAGCTTGGCAACGGGGCGGGGCGGGGTGGTGGTTGTGTCAGGCTGCTCGCTCCAAGCCGGCGGGTGTCTCGCCTCGCCATTCTTGGACAGGTCAGGACCTAACGGCGCGAGGCCCCTCCAGCGGTACTACACTCGCTCCGGGCTCCGGGCACGCTCCGGGCCTCTCCAGCAGCAGCAGCGCTGCGCGCTCCAGACAGGATGCACCTCACGGCCGGATGTGGCTGCAGAGAGGAGGCGGCTGGAGCGGGCCGGTCCAGCAGGGCCGCCTGGAGAACTGGAGAGAGAACTCGGCCCGCATTGTCTGCCCGGCCGCGCCGGAGAAGCGGCTCGCCTCCAGCAGAGCGGCACGCCCCGCGAGGGGTCCGGCGAGGCCCACAGAGAGAATCCAGAGCGGCACACCAGCGGAGTCATTCTCCAGCCTGCGAGGCCCATTGGCGAGGAAGTGGAGTTGATGATCAGCGCCGACCTTCCGGAGTGATCCACGCCAGAG